GTCTTTCACACCGGCTGGGGAGCGGCAGGTACTCAATTTAAGAGGAAGCCCAAACAGGACAAGAGGGACCAAAATCCGAAATTATACTCCATGTAACATTCTGTTACACTCCGATTTTCAACATGGTTACGGTGATTCAGAGGGCAGTTTGAGAAAACAAATGGCTCTTCCAGCAGTGATGTGCATTTACCTAGGAAAAACAAGTCGGGATGGTGTCGATACCTACTGCATAATTGGTTTGAAAGGATACAACATTTTAATAATGTCATAGAGCCATACAATATTGGGTTTAATTCAAAATGTTGAGTGAACTAGTGAAATAAACAGTTTCAAGGTAATGTTTAATGAAACAGTAATAAACAGTAAACCCTCTGATTTCTCTGGGTAACAAATCTTAGGGGTCAACTGTGAAACACTAACATAGTTTCTTTGTGAAGAACGAAACCACATGGAACGTAGGAGAGCCCATAACTGCAAATTTCATTCAGTTAAAGGGTTCAGGAATTTCCAAAGGGAAAATATACTCTTAGGGCCCATCCCCAGGTGTTTGTAGAAGAGCTGGACTCAAAGTTCAGTCAGAACTGACTGAACTCCACTAATCCAGTGCACGGTTCTCTTCGCCAATAGATCAGAGTCCAGGACAAAGTGGAAAAATGAAGCTGCCCTCCTGCATTTCTACTCACTTCCTCTTAGTCATTCCCTTTCTCCTTGATTATTTTATTCACTTTCTATTCAAATAAGTAATGGTTCAGGTTTTTTTAAGAAAAAAAAAGAGAAACTTTGTAATCTATTAATTGTATCTTACTAATATTTATATGACATCTATCTATATCTATCTATCTATCTCATGTATAGATTTGTATCTGTAACATAAAACATCTATCATGTTCATAATACATGTATATGTACATATATAATACCTATGTCGGTATTGGGACTGGTGCTGTTTAACGTCTTTGTTGGTGACATGGACAGTGGACACCAAGTTTGCTGATGACACCAAGCTGTGTGGTGTGGTCAACACGCTGGAGGGAAGGGATGCCATCCAGAGGAACCTTGACAGGCTTGAAAGGTGGGCCTGTGCGAAACTCATGGAGTTCAACAAGGCCAAGTGCAAGGTCCTGCACATGGGTCAGGGTAATCCCAAGCAAAAGTACAGGCTGGGTGGAGAATGGATTGAGAGCAGCCCTGAGGAGAAAGACTTGGGGGTGCTGGTTGATGAGAAGCTCAACATGAGCCAGCAATGTGCGCTTGCAGCTCAGAAATCCAACCGCATCGTGGGCTGCATCCGAAGAAGTGTGGCCAGGAGGTCGAGGGAGGTGATTCTCTCACTCTCCTCTGCTCTCATGAGACCCCACCTGGAGTACTGCCTTCAGTTCTGGGGCCCCCAACACCAGAAGGACATGGAGCTGTTGAAGCAGGTCCAGAGGAGGGCCATGAAGATGACCCGAGGGCTGGAGCACCTCTGCTATGAAGACAGGCTGAGAGAGTTGGGGCTTTTAAGCCTGGAGAAGAGAAGGCTCCAGGGAGACCTTCTAGCAGCCTTCCAGTACCTAAAGGGGGCCTACAAGAAAGCTGGAGAGGGACTTTTTACAAGGGCGTGTAGTGATAGGACAAGGGGCAATGGTTTTAAACTGAAAGAGGGGAGATTTTGATTAGATCTAAAGAAGAAATTCTTCACCATGAGGGTGGTGAGGCACTGGCACAGGTTGCCCAGAGAAGCTGTCTGCACTCCATCCCTGGAAGTGTTCAAGGCCAGGTTGGATGAGGCTTTGAGCAACCTGGTCTAGTGGAAAGCGTCCCTGCCTGTGGCAGAGGGGCTGGAATTAAATGATCTTTGAGGTCCCTTCCAACCCAAACCATTCTACTATTCTGTGACTCTCTATATAAGAATATATGAGGCTAAATCCTGTCATGCTAGTCAACATACAAGCGTGTAGCCCCAGCGCTCTTCTTTTCAGCCCTCTAGAGCCACACCAATACACTCTTTACCTCATTCCATTCCAGTAGTTAATCTACTTGCCAATGACGTAAGTAGTATCATCTAACTGTGGAACCATAGCGTCTGAACTCCTCTGCCCCTGCCGTCACTAACCAGAACCACTTCCTCTTTCTCATCAAGTTCTTGTCCCTTGACAGCTTTTGTTCCTTCTCCCTAAAGGGATATGTGAGCCAGGAGTCTTACAGCATACAGATCTTCTCCTCCTCCTCTCATTGAGGAGGAGGAATCAGGTCCTAAATTTAAGAGTTCTCAGAAGCTAACTTCCATTGGCACCGAGCTGAAATATGCTCAAATCAGCAAGGTAAGCATGGGCTACTTGTCAAAGTCTTGCAGTTCTGTGTAGCTAAGTACAAAAGGTTTAGTGGTAGCCCTGTCATAAATACACTGTTCTGCTTCCCTGCTGTGGCCACAGATGAAATAGAGATTGACCAACACTGTAAGGAACGAGCCGCCTACAGATCTCATTCTGCTTCTCTTTTATTTCATGACCACATTTGTAATTTCTTTCACTTCCCAAATGTGAAGATATCTCTATTATTAGAAATGGGAATGTATTCCTCTCTTCTGAAGTGTGTTCATACGTTTGTACTTCAATAACAATCATGTTTCTTTGCAAGGTGATTTAATGGCCACAATTACCAGGCATGCTTTATGTTAGAAGCAAGACAATTCCACGTTCTAATTGAGCTCTCCACTTGTTTAACTGAAGGCATATTTTCTGAACTTCCTTAATTAAATTGTCCTCCTACAATCTCCTGAAGCACATAGCTTTGGACTTTCTCTCTCCTCTTACAGCCTGTTCCTCCTAAACAGAACAGCTCGCTGACGACATTTTCTCTTCTCTGCGCCTTTTCTACATCGGTGTAAATTCCACCGTACTAAACGTTTAGTCTCAAAAGACAGTTTATGCATCTTCTACAATGCAATTTCCCAATTTGTAAAAGTTCTTCTTTGTATCAGATGAAATGCGATTTTTCTTAGCCCGTATCTAAATTTGCCAGCATTAAAATGTTAACTGCACATCCTAAAATTTTGTGTCCTTACAGTCTTAAAATTCAGCTTTAAACTTAAACACTGTATTAATATTGGCATCATAGGAATCAGTATCTTTGTGTCTCCTCTCTACTTAATTTCATGAAGTAAACTGAAGTGGAATTAGAGGAAAAGTACACACAGAGATAAAGAGCTAGGAAAAGAGATAAGGGTAGAATTAAATGCTTATAGTGAAGTCTAGAAAATATTTGTGCTTGGACCTGCTTTGCTCAGCACACATCTAAATGAAGTAGAAAAGAAGACAAACACTGAGGCAAAAAACATTTTTTGACAATATTTGTCAGTCAGGGCAATTAAGATAACAGGTCATTATACAGGACTGCAGAAGATCTCAAGGTCATACACTTTCTGGCCAGGTAATGAGTTTCAGCAGTCATTTCAGAAGAACGTGCAATGACCCACATGGAGTGGGAAAGGAGGGGGAATTTTTTTTTTTTTTTTTTGTTAACCTATACAGTGATGGAGTTAGAGTAAATACATCTAGGGAAATGTCTGCTTGATGCAGCAGAAGCGCAAAAGCAAGTCAGTTGTTAAAGAGTTTTAAGAAAGGAAGGGACTAAACCAGAAAATACCATTATCCTCTACTATATGCTATGGTGCACTCACATTCCAGTTTCCCTCCCTTTCTTCATCTCAAAAAGAATGAGGTGGACAGGGTACACTGAAGGACCGCAAGTCTGATCAATCATGTAAGGCAGTTCTGATCAAAGAACAAATAAACAGACCAGGACTTTTCAATGGGAGAAAGAGAGGAGTAGAGGGAAGCCTCTATGGTAGAAATAAGGAATAGATATGATAAGAGCACCCTATGATAGTGCCTAAAATAGAAATCTGTAAAAACAGGAGTGGCTCAGGAGGTTCCTCAGGGGACAATTGCTAGAGACTGGGTAGGTTCAAATCAGGTGCCCAAAGGGGCATTTGAGATGTCCTTGGGGATGCCACCTGGCATTCAGCTACCGCTCCAGAACAGCACAAGGTTCTTGCACATCTTTGACTTACATTTTCCGTCACCATAAGGATGTCTCAAGTATTCTAGGTCACCTGAAATAGCGCTAAAGGTCTGCGCTCAGGCAACAGAAAAGAAGTCACTTGGAAGGTAGCTCGCACTACTAGCTGTTGTCACAGGAGACAAGCTGCTGATTCAGAGGTTAAGCTGTGGGCCACAAAGCTGATGTATACCCCAACTAGCCCCAAATGAGCTGCACCATGCTGTGTAGTCACACCAATACCACCACTGTGGGTGGAAGTCATGATGACATAGCTTTACTCTTTCTGGCTTATGCATTTCTTTACTGCACCTCATAATGCAGATACAGCATAAAGCTAAGTATTATTACTACTAAAAACAAGGATTCTGGTGTTTGTCTCAATGGAAACCTCATCTGAAAGTGGCATGGTTGCAGACATGATTGTATGTATGTAGACTTAAGGTATTAGAAAAGAGAGAAACCAATCATGGGGTTTTACAGCTAGCTGGTAGGTAAAAATTTCTCCCATGTTTTTAATACTAGTATATTTTGCATGGAAATCAAAGATACAGAAGTCACAGAACTTAAAAATGTCAATCATTTTTGAGAGAAAAGCTTTTTTAAAAATTACTTTTTGTTGTCAGTAAATCAAAGCGGTACAATATATAACATTTACTGTAATTCTGAGGAAAACTATGGTTTAAAAGATCTAGTAATAGTTATAGCAATCTTTCCTTTTTCGCCCTTCTACAGTATTCTCACCAACCAAGAATTTTACATTCTGATGTTATTCAAAAAGTTGCAGAAAACACAGACGTTTCTGAAATGTGGGAGAATGATTTGCGTCCTATCCTGATAGAAAGATACTCGGGATCACCAGGAAACTATTTTGTACGACAGGTAAGACAACATTTCCTGAAAACCTCTAAGAACATCTATTACTTACATTCTGGTAGTGCATTTAGTGACAACTAAAGGGACAGACACATTCCTTCGATTCGGTAGGATGAACGCTATCGTTGTTCAAGCCTAGACTGCATAGAGCCTACATGACACAGCTTGCACTTTAGCTGACATTATTTCCCAGGGCTGCATAGCATGATGAAAAAAAAAAAAAATCTGTGTTTAAATTTATGTTTTAAATTAAAAAGCTTGCCTCAGGTATGGCACCCAAAGTACAACACAGTCATTGTCCTTTTTCTCACACCAGCAGGTTTTTGGTCACTGGTTCAAACCCCCTGGGACCATACATGGGGGTGAAATAAATGCCCTTTTTCCATAGAGGGCCTGTGCTGTTACGCTCCCCTGGAGCGTTGCTTCAGATGGGTGTATCAAGACAAAAAGGGATCAGAGGGTCCCAAACGGGCAGGCAGATGAAGTGGTCAACATGACAAAGTGCAGCACTGGTCCAAGTCCCACGCTAGCTCCGCTGGCCCAAGCACAGCAGTGTGTTAATGCTGGGCTAACACATCCAGATTGCACCTGGCCCCCAGCCCGGGAAAGCTGCAGCACATTGTATTTGAGCCCCAAGGAGTTACCACACAACTAGGCTGCTGCTCTGCACTCACAGCATGGGCATCTTGAGGACTGTGTGCCATGCTGGCTCTGGAATACAGTAGCCAAGTGGGAGACTAAAAAGAGTGGTACAGCTGAGTTTACTAGAAGATATTCATAACATCTCACTGGCCTTCATCAACCCTTTAGGCAGGAACTCAACAGCTCCAAGACAGCCCTAACCACAGTAAGTGTATTTGCTACACTGCAGTTGGTAGACTGGAAAAATGCAGCTTTTTTATGCTTTGTGTGTGCGAGTGAGTGCGCATGTGTCTATAGATTTAGTTTTGTGGTTTCTTTAGTGACACTCTGGAAGGCAGCCAAATGAAAGGGGAAAAAGTAAGAAAAACAAAAAACAGCTGAGCCTAGGCTAGAAAACCGCAAATCATGTTCAAAATAGGATCATCCTGTTACAAGGTAACAGCATGTACTAAAGTAGGCCCCCACCAACAGGAAAAAAGACGAGTCCTCCATTGTAAAAGCACAATGGAGTTTGAAATGGATGACATTTCTTTGTTAAGACACAGAGAAAGCATCAGACTCCTTTAAGGGAGAAGGCTAGTGCCAGTCACAGCTACTGCACGCTGGGAACTCCATCCAGGCTTATATATTCCCCCTAATCCATAACAGACGTCCTTTGCTCTGCCTATAGATAGCAGATAGACCATACAATGTCATAAAAGCTTTCAGAGGGTGATGACAAACAAAATGGAAGTTTGTTCTAGCACTAAATGAATGGCAATATTCCCACTGACTTCACTAAGAGCAGGACAAGTCTTCAAAGTCTATTTTCTTTTTTCCCCTTGGAGGCTTTTCTTAATGTTTATTTAAAGAGAGAGGAATCTGCCTTGAAGAAGCACTCTAGGGACCCGTAAAAATAAGTTGCTTAACAGAGATGGCTCTCTAATAAGAGTCAGCCAGAACTCTGTACTAAGTATTACTGGGGTTGTTAAAGGTACTCTCTTTAGGTAGGAAGATACCTTAAACGATCGATCTCTTTTACAGATTGACTGTCTTAATTTTTATCTTTACTTGAGCTACACTTACAGGATTTAATTTTTAAAACATTGTTCTGAAATGTTTAATTCTTTCTTTAATTTACAGGAATAAGACTGTCATAGTCTTGTAAACAACTTACGTCACTTGAAAGGCAGATTTCTGATAGAAGCTAAAAAAAACCTTTAAAAAACTCACCCCACACCAAACAAACACACACCCCCAAAACACTCCACCATTTTTTTTTATACTGTTGTGGCACCAGTGTGTGGTAATTGTCAAATCAGCCACACAAAGTTCTCTGCAACCAGTTCTGACATTTAAGGGCACAACTGCATTTAGATTCAAAGAGGTAAACATTAAATCTGTCCTTGCTACACCAGAAAAGAACACTGGCCTGGAAACTTCAGAGACCAAGATCTTAATGTGTCATATTAACAGGCAATCATTCAAAGCACCCTCAGACTCCAAAGACAAGAGACAAAAGGAAAAAATGAAAAACAAGTGAGCCAGTCAAAGGCTAAGGCAGCAAAGATGATGCTTAGTTTATACAGTGACATTACATTTTTTGCTATAAAATTTATCTTTTAAAAATACCATGAACGTACAGAAATAAGCTTAAGTGCCGCTATTAATTAGCTAATGACGATTTGTCTGCAACATCTTTCTGAAGCAAGCAATATTAATCTGATTACTTTTTTTTTGTTTAATCGCAGCATATCAAGCACCGTCTTCAGAGATTACAGGCTGGTTGGGAAATTGAGGAAGATACATTTCAGAGATACACACCATATGGATATCAAACTTTTTCAAATATTATCAGCACTCTCGACCCCTCTGCAAAACGCCAGCTAGTACTTGCTTGCCACTACGACTCAAAATTCTTTGGACAACAATGGCAGGAGAGAGCGTTTGTAGGAGCGACTGATTCAGCTGTGCCTTGTGCTATGATATTGGAGCTGGCACGTGCCCTGGATAACAAGCTTCAGTTAATTAAGGTAGTTGACTTGTTTCATTTTCATTTGCTTTGCAACAGCAATAGGCCTTAGGGCACTTCCACATTCTTCTTCCCACAGCCTGCGTGCCTCAGTCTCTTGGTTGCTGTGCCAGTAGTAAAACTCCCATTGACTTCGAGAAGAACAAACCAGAGATCTGTATCTACTATTTTAGGGTACATTATCACATTAAAACTTCTTATGCAAAGGGTGGCTATGAAAAATTATCTAATACATACCATATAAAAATAACAATTTACACATGAATAATACGTTTCATAGACTGAGCGAGATATAATCCTACTTTCTATATAAAAGGCACAGAATCCTATTCAGAAGTTCCTATCGTACCCAGTAACATCTAGGGTCATTTACAAAGTTTTGTTGCTTTCTGGATCTTGCATTTTTAAAATCTCTCAGTTGTATTCTGTTTTGGGAGATGGATGAACTAATTGCTGTGCAGGAGAGTTACACTTGCATCCCTCCGTCTCACAACAATTTCAAGCTTTTCTTCTCATTTTCCTTTATCAAATTGAATAGTTTATTTATGAAACAAGTGATGGCTGAGTACAGGAAAACAGTCAAGTAATAGTATAATATTATCAGTCTGTGTTACCTATGCTATGAAAGTCTGCTTCGAAGTGCTGTCATTGCTAGGCACAAAAATCTGTCAATCCTACAAGCTTTTGTATTACAATTTTTAGATTTTAGATTACAAATTTTTAGGATTACAGATTCATGAGTGCCATCTACTGGTTCAGTATTTACTATTTACAGAAGAATACTCATATAACAGAGCTTTCACAGGAAAAGGTCTCTCAAATGCTTTACAAAGTGTCGGGAATACGCTTAGCTCCAGTATGAAGATTACTTGTCAGCAGTTGTTTCCAGAAACTGATTTGGTGCCTTCTGACACTAGAATATTTAAGAATTAAAAGATTAAGAATATGCCGATGTTTTTAATTACAAAACAAAGCGCTCCTGTAATACATCTGCTTTCATTTAGAAGCTTCATTTAGAATACATTTGCCTGATGGTTATTTATGGAACAACCTGCACACCAACTTAAAGACTGGAGTTTTTCCCAAGTAATGCATAATTTTTTGATTAAATTGTTTTATCATGTAAGATGACAGCATTTGACAAAAAGGCAATCTAATTACTTTGCACGGGCTACCATTTGTACAGTCTGTTAACAAAATATACTTTGGGATCCATCTGCTTAATACATTAGCTGTGACCTTTTTGCTCTGCCCATAGTAGCGTAACAGACTTTGTTATGTTTTCAGCCAAATCTATTTATATTTTGATTTGAGGCTGTGATTTTTATCTTGATGTTTCTCCAGTTATATAAAGTAAGTTTAAAATTAAAGGGCAAAGACATCTCTCTACATTATTCAGACCTGAGAAAGTGTCAAGCAGTAGTAATACTACTACTACTACTAATTTCTAAAATCCAAATGGCATTAAGACAATTTCCTCCAGAATGTAATGCAAAATGACTGCTATCAAAAGAGCTCTGACCTGTGCAACGAACAAAGGGCACCAAAGCATTGTCCTTAGAGAAATCCATATACCACTGTGAGCATAATCAATATCATCTTGCCTGCGTGAATGACATTTTATAGAAGTTTTCCTCTACTGTTTTTATTGGATCAGCTCCAGCTAGTTGGGAATTATAGCCCACACAGGACATGACTGTTGCCAGTGTCCCTGCCTTTTTAACCACATCATGCAATTTCATTTGAAGTAGCATTAATTCATAGAGGGGTTAAAATATTTACAGCAACTGCCAAGACTACAGTTCCAAAAACTGTTCCTATAGTGGAACCAACTGGGTTTAGCCATGTTGAAGACTATTAGAAAATGCTGCCAGTGCAAACAAGGATTCAGTTAGTAGAGAGAGAAAAAAGGCTCCTTTTACATGGGGAAGAAATTTCACACAGATGTCTCCTTTGTGACTTTAAATACATTAATCATATATATTCTCAGGTTATACTGCTGTGATATTTTTGGTTGTTGAAAGGGAAGGGCGTATCTACTCCACTCTCTGTGCTGTGGTTTTAGGGTAAAGTTGCCTCGGTGGTTGCAAGTCCCCCTGAAGGAAAATAAACGGTTGTTCTTCTCATGACTGACTACTCTTTGTCCTTCAAAGAACCAACAACTTTACAAATACATAATTCACTTCCACTGATGCACAACTGCCGCGGAGATACTTCTCCTTTGGGGTGCTATCAAGTAATAATATTAGCGCTCACATCAGGTGTTGCTGCTGACATGTCTCCTCATTATTTGAGATGATGTTTCTGCTACCTGGTTTTGCAGACCTGTCTCAACATAATCAATTCACATCCGCTAGAGTCAGAAAGGAAGCTTTTAACCAGAACCAAAATGATACCAGACTGGAGAACATGTCACTGTGCTAGATAAATAATAATGACTGGTCATTACCACTATTACACCATAACATGTTTAACAGCCACAGGAAGGTTTGTACAGGGTACCTTGAAAATATACTCCTCCTGCTGTTGCTTATATGACTACAGAATTTGTCCTTTATTTAATGTTCTGGCCAGAATCAGTTATGTTACTTTTAACTTCCTCCAACAGACCAGCTCAACGTCAAGACCAGACCTTTCACTTCAGCTCATTTTTTTTGATGGTGAAGAAGCCTTTGTCCGGTGGTCGCCTTCCGATTCCCTCTATGGATCTCAACACTTAGCTCAAAAAATGGTATCTACTCCTCATCCACCTGGTTCAACGACCACAAATCAGCTGCAGGGCATAGTAAGTGGCTTTCATCTCCCCAGTGAGTACCTTGCATTTTTAAAATATTTAATTAGTAAGTAATTTGCCAAATTCCCAAGAAACCATGAACCCCACCAAAGTTAAAGGAAGAAGTAGGCTGGTGGAAATTTTTATGAGAAGTGATAAAATAGAGAGTTGGCAAGAGCTTTTCAGGTGAATCTTCTTAGACCTTCTCCATGCAAGTATGAGAAGGAGTCATAGAAAAACCACACCAATTTATTAGAATATAAACTAGGATACCCACCTTCTTCTAGAGAGATAATTCCAAGTGATTAGGAAAGAGCACAGACAGTACTGGTCTATGAACAAATCTCCCCTAGCTCAGCGCTCAGCTACAGCAAGCTCTCTGTTTCCCTCTGATTCCTATGAACATTCTGGTTATCTCCTCCCTTCTCCCTGCTGCCTTCTAGTTTCCCTACTTGTTGCTGAGAGACGCTTTTCTTCTGTCACTGTATCTTGTGACCCTTACAAGGACTTTCCCTTGACAGACTGTTGTTTTCCGGGGAAGAAGCAATTTCCTCTTCTTTCTCCCCACCTACCATACTTTTTCTTTTAAAGGGATAGAACACACAAACTGCAAACAAAGCGATGCAGTCTGCTTCAGCTTAAGGAACAGAGAAATGGCCTACTCTTTTCCTCCTCGGAAAGACAGCAAAATGCATCAGATTGGAATCGGGTTCTGCTAATGAGTTCTTCTCAGGCACCATGGCAGAAAAGCCAGATCTTTGGCCAGAGCTATCAAAGACTTAGTCATGACCTCTACAGGAACCAAGAGATTTCATTGTTGCTGCTGTTGATGGTGTTGTAGTAATGTAAAGAATTCTGTAGTAATGATTCTTTCTTCTGTAGGACCTGCTTGTACTACTGGATTTAATTGGTTCACCAAACCCAGTCTTTCCCAATTATTTTCCAAACACTATTCGATGGTTTCAGAGGCTTCAAGCAATTGGTAAGGAGAGGGGTATGGGCTTTTGATGAATTTGAAAATTTAGTGTGTAGTTTCTGAATGTTTAAAGTCCTGTAAATCAGATTTTTAGATTACTTTTCTGTTTTACAGTGAAAATATTTAATAATGTAAATGTTTAATTTGGTGCATCTTAAACGTACAAGAAGATTTTAATATTTAATAAAATAACTGAGGAAGATTCCCAGACACTTGGAAGCCATGAAACAGACTCTATTACTGATGGTCACTCTGCAACTCTTGGGCACCACTTCACTTCTGTGAGGTTCTCCTTTCTGTAAAATGATGGTAATAGCACCAGTTTTGAGGTCTTCTAAGTACTAAACAAATGCAAAAAACAGTCACCAACTCCTTTTTCTTCTTTGATGGAAAAAGCTTCCATTTGAGACAAAAAATAATTCAAATGTGCTAACATGCCTCATATTGTCCAAAAGTTGTAGTAATCACTTCCATTGTGAATTACAGAGCAAGAGCTACACAACATGAATCTGTTGAAGAACCACCTTGTTGAAAGGCAGTATTTCCAGACTACTTTACATCGAGGCTTGGTTGAAGATGACCATGTTCCATTTTTGTTGAGAGGTACTGGAAGCTCTTATGTTTTAAAGTAAAAGTACAGTAAAAAATGCATCATGTGGTGAATGAGCAAGTGCATATAATCCTGTTTTTCAAGCTTATTTGCCCCAATGTGAGGCTTCCAAATCCAACTTTACACAGGCCAAGAGTCACAGCTTTGAAAAACATACTCGAACAAAAGCAGCAATAAAATGTACCCAACATAATTTTGCACAAGCACAGCTCCAATGGCACAGAGGTAATGGAAATTTCTGTCAGCAGTAGTGTCCTAGAAAGACTCTGATCCAGTGCAATATCACTGCATACCACACTAGCCAGCTAGGTATTATTTCTAGGGGCAGTGAAACACTTGAGGGTTGTATCTTCAAATGTCTAAAGATCTGTTGTCAAAGTTACAGTATTGCTTACTATTATTTAAATTTGAAGGCACTGACTCCTGCAAAAACTCACATGCTCAAATTACTAAAAGTAGACATCCTCATTCTCTAAAGAAAAGAGATTTCACAGCTGTCAGCTTGAGGAGTAGGAAAGGTGCATAGAATAGCCAGCAGAAATAGCAAAGGACACAATATGCCTGAAATCCCTCCTGGAATTAGGTACATATCTGAAACTGGGATTCCCTACTTAAGCACTTCTCCTGGCAGCCACCTACACCATAGCCTCTGACATCGTGTTCATTCTTTTCCTTTGCAATGCAATCAAAGGGAAAGCACTTGTGCTAGTGCTGCCACTTAGTAAAGCTACAGGTCACAGATAAAAGCACTTGAGCAAGTTCCACATGTGGATTCGGTGTCCTTCTCGGTTCAAGCGCTCTGCAGAGCATCTTCAAAACTAAGGTGGGCCAAAGAAGGGTAGTAGATATAGTGAACTCTTCTGATTGAAGTCTTCCACTGTATAGTAAGGACTACAACAGTCATATCGCTAGAGAGGGGTTAACCAAAAAGGAGTGTAACACTAGTTCAATGAAGCAGGTAGCTACCTAGGAAAGGAGGGAGGTATCTTCATATCCAGCCCCTAATTTTATCATTGCTTATGCTGTCATAATTACTGAGTAATGTAAAATGTGCACACAGCTCTGGAGGCAGGCACAAGAGTAGCTACGCCTCTCCACTTCTAATCGAGTGCTCTCTTCACTGACCTATGGTTACTGTCTCCTCCTCAGTGGGTCTTCAACTCCATGAATCTTTCGTTTTTCACATCAAGGCAAGGGCCAGGTCCAATGAAACCAACACAGCCATCGTATGCATGTCCAGTGATATCAAAAATCCTACATGGGAAAAGCTGATGGAGGAGAACAATGACTACACCTCAAAACCTTTTCTAATAACATGATAAACACCTAGTGAAGAAAACAGACTCCTTAGTGGGATGCAGCTGAAAAATGAGGGAGGAAAAGCAGTTAAACAGGAAGGAGGCTGGAGAGAAATGATGCTCCCTCCAAAAGTGATCAGGAAGAAGATTGATTTAACTCCTCTTTTACCTGAAAGTTGCAGTATGTATAGGCGGCTTGATGTATTTATACATGTAGTGACACAAGTCCTTTCAAGGGGAAATTCTTTTATCTGAGGGTAACAGTAGTTCTGTTTTACAGACTGAAAATACAGACACTCTATTTTACCATTTCTGGAGAGGACTGAAAAACGCTTCAAAAAGTGCTCAATCTTAACACTGTCACAAGAACATGGTAATCAGTTTTCAGTCTGGGGAGCTGCAGTGGTTTCTCCGCCCTTCTGTAGCTCCAAAACACAGTATCAACAACTACAATGCAAAGGATCTCAAAAAAAAAAAAAAAAGCAAGCATCACAGTAAAACTACTAGCTAAAGCAGTAGAACTACTAGCTACAGTTGTAGCTTAAAAAAAAAAGAAGAGGGAAAAGTACTCAAAGGAAAGGAAGGTGCTAATTTTAGGAAACACACAATGAAATGGATGGGATGCAGTCACAGGCTTCAAAAAAAGAGATGGTAAAAGGAAGCTGCAGTGACACACTCTCCTCTTTATAAAGTAAGTTTATTGAGTAGTTACCTGACTCTGTTGCTAAATGGCAACATATCAATTGGCTTAACAGAACTTCTCCAATGTTTCTTCTCCAAATTTCACTTTCCTCCTTACAGGGGTTCCAGTCCTACATCTGATTCCATCCCCTTTTCCTGCAGTATGGCATACTATGGAGGACACAGAAGAAAACCTTGACAAAACCACTATCGACAATCTCAGCAAAATCCTGCAAGTGTTTGTACTGGAATATCTAAACCTGTGATAGACAAAACGGCAACAAATTGTACTCCATTCTACATACTGTTTGCCCACCTTCACATTTGCTATTTAATTGTATTGGACAGCACTAAAGCGAAGCAAAATATAATGATAACTCTTGCTAGACTGATTTTTGATTCAGCTGTTCCTGGCCCAATGAATTAGTTTCAGCCTGGAAAAAATTTGATCTTTCCATGTCTTACATCTGCATAGAAAAAAACCTAGAATTTTTCCAGATTGTTATCACTGCTTTATGTTACATATTAAGATCCTAGGAGGGAATGCTTCCCGACTCATGTGGTAGCTACAGTTTTCACAAGGTGTGACCAACTTTTGCAGTGTTGAGCAATGGAAATCTATACCACGTTATGAAAAGAGGCAAAAATCACACTAAAACAAACTTCTACTTTGGGTTGAACTAAACCATCTCATCCTGAAATGAGCTGCTAGAACACCTGACACACAGAACGATTTTTAATCCTCTCTGCTCCCTGTCTCCCTCCCCTATGAGGACGGCTACAAGGGCTCTTGTCTGCTGACAGCAGGCCACCAGGAAACAGAGAAAAAACCCAAATTCAGTTTTCTGCCTGTCATTTGTTGGATAATTTTTGATGGAGAAGGATGGTGGGGAGTGATGCTAAGAGGCAGTACGTGGGGGTTTCCATCGTGCTTTGACTGCAACACAGGCGATAAACACAGAAGAGTAGGTGGTGTGTGGGAGCAACTCCTCAACACACACCATTCATTCATGTGAGAATCATTCACAATTTCATCCAAAATAAAAAAAAAACCACTCAGAAAAAACCCAAACTTGCTGTTTTCAATACAGATTACATCACAAGTAATCATACTAGGAAAGTGATCCCTTTAGAAACTCTAGTTTTATATAAAAATAATTTTAAAGGCAAAGTGCTATCTATCAAGAGTAAAATAAGTATAACAGTCAGAAGCAAGAAGACAGTTTAAGCACCAAAAAGTAAGGACAAGCCATAGCCTATATCAGAAAAAAAATACTCACCAGTTTTACAACCCTGCTTTTACATTTCTTATTGCAATTATTCAGTAAATTTAGTATAACATTCTGACAAAATTCTAGCCTGTAATGAAATCAATAGGAGAAGTCAGAAGAACAGTATTTAAAAGCTACCTACAGAATTATTGTTTCCACTGGTGAGAAAAAGATGAGAGCATTTGAAGGAAAAAAGATTTAAAAAAAAAAAAATCAAGCTGGTAGAGGATGAACTGAGAAAAAAAAACAGTCAGTGTTTTACTGCTCCAAACTTCTTCCATTAGAAAGTTCCTGGGCAAAGGGATTTAAAAAGGAAATAAGCTATGGAGTTGTAGGCATGTCAGATTTGGCCTGTATTTTACCATTTTCCTAAAGCAAACATTTCTGAACCTAAGACATAGTTTCAAGCTGCAATAGAAATATATATTTACAGCAATGCAAATTTGTAACATTTTAATATTATAGGACATCCTGAAAATGAAATTATATCTGGTGTTGTTGCTCAAGATGAAACAAAAGCATTTTATGTTTTCCCATCACTTTAAGATTTGTGAGAAATGTTTCTATTTTGCATGCAACTTCTGAAATAGAATACAATGCAAATTCTAAAAATTGGACAGATGTGTTTATTTTCAGATATTACTGTACATCTATGTAAATACATCAAAGCTATTTGAACTCTTTGCTATCATATTCTCCTCTACTTCAGCCCATGAGAAAACATTATAAACAACTAAATTAAATCTTATGAAGTTTGAATACTCTGAGCAGTACAAGGCACCTACTGTACCCTCCTAAGTGGGTAACAGTACAGTACCAAAAGGAAACAAAAAATGTCTATATACAGAAATATTAAACATGAGTTTGTGTGGCTAATTTCATTTTTACAGGTGAGCTCTTGTGGTACTTCACACTTTGCAGGGCCTCTGAAAAATACAGTACGCATTTGCGGCGTGCACTGCTACTCTGCTTCTTCAAGAATTTGAAAGTTAACTTAAAACAGGCTGCATTATGAAATGTGGAATTAGAGGGTTGTTATAACTGGGAAAAGCCTATTTTTTAAAAATAACTGTTAGAGTTAGTTGAAATGATAATTTAACCATGTAGTACACCAAATCTCTGGCATGTCAATTTTGTCACCAACTTCTCACTGCCTGAGCATGCAGTTCTCTTGAGTTATGTTCAAAATGAGATACAGGTTGGTGTAATACAATTCAATGGCTCTTAAAACATGAAGAAAACATGAAGAGGCTTGCTTTTTTTTTTCCCTTGAGTTTTTGGTTTTTTTTTTTAATTTTATTTTTTTGGTACAGGAAAAGAGGGCCCTGTCTTAACTGGATGTGAGCCCTGGAAAGGGTTTACTTAAAGAGGGGAGGGTCATCATCTTAGCAATTTATATGATCTGTCATTCATTTAAAAAATAACTCCTGGATGGAAGACTTACGTCACCCCAGTAACCACGTGAATCCAAGAATCTAAGCTCTCAAAAGCACAAGAACCTGAAGTAGTCAGTAAAGCAAAGACACGGTGCATGCTGAGTTCTCACTGCTACTAAGGCAGAGGAGAACACGCAGGTAGGAGAAAGTCTAGCCATTTGATAAAATACCCAGAAAACAAAAGTACAAGTGAAAAGGCCAGGGCAAGTATCTCTTCCACTCTCAGTTTCAACACTGAGTATCACTAAGTACCCAGATCCGTAGGATCTGGACATGCACAGTACAGAGAAGCACTTCAGCATTCAGAGACGAGTTTATGCTGAAGAACGTATCCCCAGATAGTGTTTCTGTCCCTGTGGGATGGTGGCAGCAGAGGACAGAAATCAACAGAGGGACTTCAACTAATCTATTAATTACACAAATCAGCAAAACTGCTGCACAGATTCTCTCCTTGAATAGGATTTCATCTCAGTCAAGGGGGAAAAAAATAAAAATCTTCAATCTACCACCCACAAGAGGCTGTCACTGGCTTGTCAGAGTCCTCCTAAAGGTGTACATGGTTATTACGTGGGTGAAAGGAATGCAGAACAGAATGAACTCAAGATCCATTACTCAAACAGATAAAGCTGCAGAAAATCCCCACATTACATTAGTTATTTGTATTGTAATAGGCACTCTAGCTCCTTTTATATGAGGACAATGCAGTTTTCCACAAGAATCTTAAGCCTAAGTAATGGTACATGCCCCTTAAATTCTCTAAAGCTTGATGCATTTACCTACAAGTGAAGTGATCCTATGCAATCACAGTTGGAACAAGTTAAGGGAGTAACAATGCCAAATCCTCTGGTAGACAGAAATGACGGCAAGTACCAGTTCTCTTTTTTCTCTACCTGGGGCAGCATTCCTGTCCTAGGAATGAAGATGATACAAATTGGCAATTCTTATTCACCACATTTCAAATAAAGACTTAGATTGTGACCACCTAACAGCAAAATACAATTAGAAAAGACAAAATGCAGTAAAAATGCTTTCTGTAGAATTGTTACAAGCACCCAGTCTACATTGGTAGCAGACCCAGCAAAACAGTTCTGGAGCTTCACACATCCGCTCATTGTGATTGAAGTTATCACCCGAGAACATCACTTAAACCATCAATATATATAAAAAGATAACTATAAAATCTTGTACACAAATTACCACTTTTTCCTCGTCATTTAAGGATGACACTGATTTTATTTTCCTCGTATAAAAGGAGACATTTTACTCTGTGCTGATTTAACAAATAGTCTTAATATATTCATAACAATAAAGCAGCTAAAAAGCCGTTCTAATCTCTAAAAGAATCTTTTTCATCTGCACATAGGATATATATTGTAAACAATCACTCAAAAAAATAATTCTGTTAAAGTGATTATATTGCACTCAGAATTCTGGGATTCTCATTCTCCTTTCTCATTTTAAATCAAAGATCAGCTTCATTTTTTAATAAAATGGAGCTTTAATTTTCTACTAAAACCAAGTAGGCATGCAATCAATATAGTACAATGTATTTAAAATGTCAGAAAAAGCTCAAGTGTTTGGTTATGAAACTGGAGCAAGGAAGAATTCTCAAATAGGCCACACTAGAGTAGTACATTGTAAACATTCTGCTGGCTCTAAGGTGTTGCAGATGCTGCAGACAGTGCAGTCTCGTTCAGCACCCAAGAGGTACAGAGAATCTGTTCAAGTGTTCTGTACTTCAGTGGATTTCCATGCAGCAATGGCACGTGTAATAGACTACACATAAAGACAAAGCAATGAAACAATGGTGATTACTGAGCTAATACTGACCTCATCAAAACACAGCCCATTGTTACAAGTTGATTGTAATCTTTAAATGCAAGTTTTCCAGGTTATTACATATTCTAACACAGCAATGAAACTGTTACTCTTGCTGCAAACGAAGTACAGAACTAGATTCCCTACTCGTAGCTTACGTGGACTGTATACCAGTGGCAGTCTGGACACTACCCTCAGCCTAAAACATCCCAGCAAGATACCATCATGCAGAACATAACCTTGCTTTGTCAGCAAGGGTGATGCCCTCCTCCATGCTGCGATGGAGTGAGAAACACAGGTGGGGGTGTGGGAAGAGGAAAGCAATGTCCTTACGCAGAAAAAGAAATTCTCAGCCCGTGTGAAGAGGCCACATATCTTTAAAATTCAAATGAAGGCTGCTTTCTCAACTCAGTTCCAACAGAGAGATTTCTCTAGCAAACCCATTATCTTCAGGTAACATAATATCTTTGGAGTCCCTGAGATACTACAGCTCCATGTAACCACCTTGGACAAACGGAGAGACTGACTTAGTATACAGATTAACAAGGTGGAAGCCAATATATAGCACCCTGAGTTGCAAGTGAAACAGTAGGAATGGGCAACCCATTCCTCAACAGCCAAGAGATGCAGAAGAAAGTGCAGAGGAGGTATTGGCTCAGGAATTGTAAGATGCACGCCACATGGAGGAACAGAAAAAAACGGAAGTATTTCTAAAAGGCCTTTCCCTGTTATCAGAGCAGGGAAGAAAAAGACAGCAGTCAGAGGGAAGAGCTCTCTGAGAAAGGCCCTGAAGAAACATGACCTTCTAGATGCACAGTAGAACGATAATGCAAAAGCAGAGACAAGTTAGGCAGTCTTGTTCCAAGCATGCCCCAAAGGTTAAGCGCT